GACATAAGTGTGTGATGTGCAATATCTGTATAGAAAGAAGTGCGCGGCAGATAATTGTACATCTCTCGGGCGTCACAGGAACCTACAGAGAGGTGTACAGCGCTATACATAGGCGGAGGCCATCATTGATGAATGCACAATGTATGTCATTATGTAGTATCACCCTAACCGCCGGCTCCGATCTTCCCAAGACCTCCTGCTTTCCAGCTCCCTTGTCAACTCCTCCCGTGCTCGCCTCCAGGACTTCTATAGAGTCTCTCCCATCCTCTGGAATTCTTTACCCCAACCTGTCCGTCTGTCGCCCACCTTGACTGCCTTTAGGCGATCCCTAAAGACTCAACTCTTCAGGGAAACCTATCCCACCTCAACCTAACCGCTCAACTATCACGTTCTCAAACAACTCATCCCCACGCATCTACCTCCTCAAGTATCACTGGCCCCTCCCTTTTAGATTGTAAGCCCTCAGGGGCAGGGCCCTCCTTACCATCTTGTATTGTGATTGTAATGTCTTCCTTATATTGTAAAGCGCTGCGCAAACTGTTGGCGCTATATAAATCCTGTATAATAATAATGTTGGGGATCTGGATATTGGATGATAGGAGATTTTATGGCTGTGTCTATTTGATGGTGTTGTGCACACTCCGGAGCCGGAAGACAACATGTGTTATCGGAGGATTTAGCAGGTGACAGGACAGCATCTGTCAGAACTTTGCCCCCATTCACATGTAGCGACTTACCTTTCCAGCGGCCGGGATAGCGCGACTTTCGGGGCGACGTTCCAACGACGGTAGCGCGACCTTCTACGTCGGGCTCCAAAGAAAAAAGCAAAATCGCGCAAAATCCGCCGAAAAAAGGGTCCTGTAGAAGTGACCTGCGACCGCAACACGGAGCTAAGACAGCTCCGTTGAATATCATTGGCCGGCGAAAGCGCGCGATATATTGCTATGTGTGAATGGGGCCTTATTGGACAGAAGGTGAAAGGAGACCATAGAATGAATGTATGGGCAATACTGCTTTTCTGGTGTACATCTCGGTATCTGTTCTTATTCCTAGCACAGTCATTGGGCAGTGACGCCACCTAGTGGCAGGCTGTGGTATTGGCAGCGAGTGTGACAAGTGTCGGAGCATCTTATCAGTTCAGACTTTGTCCATGGAACTCCAAATAATAGATTTATATGAATATGACCAGTGACCACCAATCATCCAGATCTGCAGCATAACATAAAGAAACACTGACAGTCTCTGGTGAGTCTTTGTGTATATATAATGTATATGGTAATACAGAGGGGTCCCTATTCCTATATGTAGCCTTTCATAGCGGTGATCTGATAGAGAGGAACGCAGGGTGAGGTAGGTGTAGATAGGGTAGAGTAGGGTCGGTGTAGAGGCCTACCTCACCCTGCGTTCCTCTCCCACGGATGCACATCAGATCGTTGGTGGCTGGGTGTTTGGTGTGGCTCCTGGCGGTCTTAGGCGTTTCTGTCTCTTCTTGGCCCCTCACAAAGCACAGGATATCCCTGAGAATGCAGATTTCAGGCCTGTGCATTGTTATAGACCTCGAGGTGTGAGAGAGTCCTGAGGCTGATCAGGTGACATCACACATGGTATGGCTTCACTCAGTCTGACAGCTCTGAATGAACTCTGATTTCCCCCCATCCCCGTTATCTGCAAGTCACCATCCTGGAGGGTCTGCACTTCATCAACCTGGGGGGGCCTCGCTCAACCTAAAGTGCCCCCTCCCCCCATTTCCATCCCATCTAATCTCCCCTCTTCCTGAAATGACCTTTTACCCCTCTGCACTCTAGACCTTCAGTGTGAGCCCGGCCTGACCATGTCCTGAAGTACTACTTCTCCGCCTTTTGGCTTAGATCAAGTGTTCAGGAGGGGGAATGTGCCGCTGTTCTGGCCTCATGGCAGGGGCTGCCCGAGGCCGGGTGTCACCCGGAGCGGATACCAGTTGACGCTCCACTGTGCGTGATGCCACCGCGCATGTGCGTGACGTCACCACGCATGTGCGGCCATGTTATTGATACCTACCAGCAGCCATCTTGGTGATGGACGCCGGCAGAGAGAGGAGGGGGATGTTCAACTGTCGGGCTCCCTGTCCATTTTCAGAGGAGGTGACGCCAAATGGACTGTCAGTCAGACTCATTTTGGTGTTACCCCTCCAATGGCGCAACCCGGGTGCGGGCCGCACCCCCCTTGTGATGCCACTGCCTTATGTTAGGAATGGCTGGCTGCAGAATACCATGCCTGAGATGATGGGGGGCCCAAAGGGTCCTGGCCATGGGAAGGAAAACTGAATTGATGTAAGGGTAGGGTTGCCACCTTTTGTTCAAGCAAAACCCGAACTCTCTAGCGACGGGCGGACATTTTTTGGGGAGAATGAGTCACGGTTTATTCAGATGTAAATATCACAGCCGAGACTATTTTCAGTGGGGGGCCAGTAGCCCCTATCTTAATTTTGGTTGCCCCTGTCTGCCTGACATCTTGTGTCCGGGTTTCTGCTGCCATGAAACCCGGACACGGCATTCAAAGCCTGGACTGTCCGGGTGAATCATGGATAGGTGGCAACCCTATGTGAGGGTGGGGGGTCGGGTACTTCCCTAGTGTCCAGGATCTGGAAGGTACCAGTGCCTCCTGATTTTAATGGGTCTACCTGGTCTGGTCATGGGCTGGGAAGTGTCTAGCGCCCCCCTGGAACTTGTGCCCTGGGGGTGCCTGAGTAGCACTATGGGTTTGGGACCCCAATGTGAGAAAATGCCCCAGGCCAAGACACCACCGGATTTTTTACTTTATAACACTTTGGCCCCCCTATTTTGTTTTCTTATCGTTTGTGCCACTTTTATCATCTCCTAAGCATGGAGGGACTCTGGGCCCAGGGGCGTCCCGAGGCCGGGTGTCATCCGGAGCGGATACCAGGTGACACCCCACCGTAACATCATCGCGCATGCGCGGCCACCTTTGTGATACCTGCCGGCGGCCATCTTGGCGATGGACGCCGGCAGAGAGAGGAGGTGATGTCCCCTCCTTTCTCCTGCAACTGTCGGGCTCTCAGTCCAATCACGTGCACTTTTTTGGTTCACTTTGGTGTTGCTTTTTGTGCAGCCACGGCGGGCTGTGGAGGAAACCTTTGAGAAGGTCCATGTTTTGAAGACCACGCTGTCCACCTGCAGAAGTATTGAAGTGCAACACAGAGCAGCATTAGAAATGATGAAAGTGTATGATATAGTTTTGCGGTGTGTTCCTCCGGCCCTCATCGCTTGCTTCTCTTTATATAGGGTGTTGGGTGCGCCTTACGTACCTCGTGGTCCCACCAAGTCCCGTTGGCTTCCATCCTTCATCCACTCATTGGACTTACAGGACACCAAGCCGATGCAGAGCGTGCCTGTAGTCCCGTCGTCAGCCCACAGCCCAGCTGTGGCAGCGTGTAGGGCGGGGGAAGGCAAACTCTAGCCCTCCATCTGTGGTGGGGCTTCAGGGGAATCATACCTGTGGCTGCCATAGTCTTGCCATGCCTAATGGGATTTGTAGTTGCACCACAGCTGGAAGGCCCCAGGTGTAGGGAGCTTGGAGCGCGGAGGAGTTTGTTCCCTACGTGGACGGCACGGGACTGGCGACTGGACGCTTCCTATCTGAACTATGCAAGACTGACCCCCGCAGTCACATGACCACCGGGATGACTATTCATATGAATCAGGAGCCAGTTAACCTTCCAGCTTGTCTGTGGAGTGCGGGAGGAAATCGGAGCACCCGGAGGAAACCCACACAAGCACAGGGAGAACATGCAAACTCCATGTGGATAGTGCCCCGACCAATCCTGGTTTTGATCCAGAGACCCCGGTGCTGCACTTCCTGTCTCCGGAGACACAACAGGAAATGAGAACAAATCTCCTGCAATTGAAGCGAATTTCCCTTGTAGCTGTCACCATAACAGGTATCCCCATTGGAAGGTTTCTCCCCTCACTTCCTGTTCAGTGACAACGGAAACATTTTGGGATTTCCTGTTATTCTCTATCCTGACGACAACGATCACCAGGACTCGCGGAGATTTTGAAACCGACCCTGCGGGCCAAGCCAACGCAGGTTGTACGCACATGGCATGGGTCACTATCGGGAAGCCCATCCAGAGCAATGAAGTGCGGGGGGTGCACGTAGACAGGAAGTGGCTGAAATAGGCTGCAGGAGAGCAGCAGCACTGAGATGCCAATAAGGATGAAAACATTTGAACACTCCAGACGCAAATGAATGCAGCTCTGCGTCCATATATACATCATGAAATGTGAGCAGGGTAAGTTCCTGGATGGGACCTGGTGTCAGCCTCTTGTACAGCAGGGCTGGAGTGAGGGAGGAAGAAGCAGCACAAGCAGCTATTCAGTTCATGTTCTGACAAGGAGCATGCTGATGGGAGGAGAGAGAGAGAGGAGTGACAGGGAGATGAGCTCATCACTGTGCTGCTTCTCCTATCAATGTCCAGTCACAGGCTGGTGGCGGGTCCAGGACGACCTGGGCTCAGAGGAAGTGGGTGTAATGATGTTGGCTATCAGACGGAGGACATCTAGTGGCAGAATACAGTACTGCGGGGACAATCTCTGAATATTGCTCTCTTATGAGCGGGGCCCTCCTAGTTGGGGTGCAGCTCTACCTGACCTACCGGTATATTTCCAGGCTGTGCTAGGAGACCAGAACACCCACAATGGGATCCCAGAACCCCGGCGCTGCAAGGCTCAGCTGCGATGCCCGTTGATGACCCCCGCCCCCCAGCAATGGAAGAGAATGATTTGATAGGATGTCAGAATGATACATTGTATGTAAACTGGTAACTGGGACCATTATGAAGATCACATGACCCTACTGGTGACCAGTACAGTACCATAATCTCCCAGTCTGATCAATGCAGGAGGATGTCAGACTTCTGGACCGGAGAGCTGACACTCAGTACATGGGTAGGTCTGACTGGGGGGGTTGTATATTGGGGGATGTGAAGTCCTGACATTCCTGAGACATCACACAGAGAATTAGGGGAGTGAAGCAGCTGCATTCCTATAGATAAGAGGAGGGGGAGGTGAGGGACCAGAGGAGGAGAGGATGGGAGCCATTTGGAAGGAAAGACTCGGAGAGGAGACACAGAGGTCCATGCCCCGCTCAGAGGTCAGCCTGGCAGCCATGGGTAAAGATACACCAACCCTGCCACCCCCTTACACCCCGCCGCCCCCGGTCCCCAGGGAACCCCTGGATTGCTGGGCTTGTGCCGTCCTCATCACCTGGCACAACCTGCTAGTGGGTGCTGCCAACTTGGGCATCTTCATCGTGATGTGCGGAGGAGCCCTTCTACCATCTGCTGTCATGCTGCTTTATGGATTCCTGTGCCACCCAAAGGTAAGTGCCATGTGGTGCTCCTGGGTGCTATTGTCAGCGGAATGGAGGGGGGGGGGGTGAGCACATTGGTACCAAGACATATTGACAGGTCAAGTGTTGGCATTGGTGGGGGCCAGTCCCATAGTAAGTGGAATGGGGGGTGAGCACATTGGTACCTTCTATATGCCAAGACCTGCTGACCAGCCTGGTGGTGACCTTGGTCAGTGTCTGTCCCATAGTCAGTGGAATGGGGGGTGAGCACATTGGTACCTTCTATATGCCAAGACCTGCTGACCAGCCTGGTGGTGACCTTTGTCAGTGTCTGTCCCATAGTCAGTGGACTGGGGGGTGAGCAATTTTTTGTAATTTGGTATCTTCTGTATGGCAAGACTTGTTGACTAGCCAGGTGCTGGCATTGGTCAGTGCCAGTGCCATAGTGAGTGGAATGGAGGGAGTGAGAACATTGGTACCAAGATATATTGACCAGCCAAGTGTTGGCATTGGTTGGTGCCACTCCCATAGCCAATAGAATGTGAGGTGAGCAATTGGTATCCTCTGTATGCCAAGACTTGCTGACCAGCCTGGTGATGGACTTGGTCGGTGCCAATCCCATAGTCAGTGAAATAGGATGTGAGCAATTTGGTACCTTCTGTATGGCAAGACTTATTGACTAGCCTGGTACTGGCATTGGTCAGTGCCAGTCCCGTAGTAGTCCCATAGTCAGTGGAATGGAGGGCGTGAGTACACTGGTACCAAGACTTATTGACCAGCCAAGAGCTGGCCTTGGTCAAGGCCACCTCCATGGTGAAATGAGGCATGAGCAATATGGTATCTTCTGTATGCCAAGGCTTATGAACCACCCAGGTGCTGGCACTGGTCAGTGGAATGAAGGGGTGAGTACATTGGTAGCAAGACATATTGACAGACTAGGTGTTGGCATTGGTTTGTGCGAGTCCCATAGCCAGTGGAAGGGGGGTAATGAACAAATTGATACCTTCTGTATGCCAAGACTTGCTGACCAGCCTGGTGGTGGCCTTGGTTGGTGCCAATCCTATAGTCAGTGGAATGGGGTCTGAGCAATTTGATACCTTCTGTATGCCAAGACTTATTGACCATCCAGGTGTTGGCATTGGTCAGTGCCAGTCCCGTAGTCAGTGGAGGGGGGTGTGTACATTGGTACCAAGACTTATTGACCAGCCAAATGTTGGCATTGGCCAGTCCCTTTGGCAGTGAAATGGGGTTTGGGAGCAAATTGGTACCTTCTGCATGCTAAGACTTGCTGACCATGCTGGTGTTGGCATTGGCCAATCAATGGCAGTCTTGGGGGACCATTCCAAGTCTTGAAGAGGCATTCTTGGTCTTAAACTCCTTTTACAACGGAACCCTTTCTCAAGAAGCGAGTCATAAGACATCATTTCAGAAGAAGACTTTGTTTCTGGCATTCTGGGAGGAAACCAGCACAAGCACAGGGAGAACATGCAAACTCCATGCAGATAGTGTCCTAGCCGGCATTGGAACCAGGGACCCCAGAAGTGCTGCCCGCTCATCACGTTCTTTCCCAGCTATCCCTATAGACAATACAACCAATCTATGACATCATCGGAAGCCATACTGGTACCTACTGGGACCGGTGCTGGTGATGACTGGGAGAGTCTGGTGGAGGGGGAACGGAGACAATCCATTGGAGGTCTGAGATGGTGCAAAGGTTAGAGAGAAGGTCCAGTCTGCTCTATGTAGTACAGGGAAGGATTATAACCCCCATCATTACTGCTGTCTGCGTCCCTGCCAGGGAAGTTCTCCCTCTTTATGTGTCCATTGTTATCAAGACTTTGATGCTGGAGTGGAATCTTTCATCTAAAACTGCATATAGCTCTGACCTATACCGCAGCGCTGTCCATAGAACGCTGAGCCAATCACATCAGACTCTGTACAGAGGAGCTTACACTCTAATGCCCCCTCCCCCCACAGTCACATCAGTCTCTGTACAGAGGAGCTTACACTCTAATGTCCCCCCCCCCACAGTCACATCAGTCTCTGTACAGAGGAACTTACACTCTAATGTCCCCTTCCCCCACAGTCACACCAGTCTCTGTACAGAGGAGCTTTCATTTCAGTGACAGTTGCTTTGGTATCAGTGACAGTTGCTTTCATTTCAGTGACAGTTGCTTTCGTTTCAGTGACAGTTGCTTTTGTATCAGTGACAGTTGCTTTCGTATCAGTGACAGTTGCTTTAATTTCAGTGACAGTTGCTTTGGTATCAGTGACAGTTGCTGTCATTTCAGTGACAGTTGCTTTAATTTCAGTGACAGTTGCTTTGGTATCAGTGACAGTTGCTTTGGTATCAGTGACAGTTGCTTTCGTTTCAGTGACAGTTGCTTTCATTTCAGTGACAGTTGCTTTGGTATCAGTGACAGTTGCTTTGGTATCAGTGACAGTTGCTTTGGTATCAGTGACAGTTGCTTTGGTATCAGTGACAGTTGCTTTCACTCATTGAACACATGGTATCCAGTTCCATCTTTACAAACAAATCAAGCAAGTGGGCAAATACAATCACCTTCCTTCCTCCTCCTCCTCCTCCTGCTGTCCCCTGAGATTTGCACTGGAAGCTGCCATTTTGTATGGATTGACATTGTGATGGGGGGGGGGATTGGGGGTGAGCTGGGATTCCCCTTTAAGTCTTGCAGCGTGCCTGAAGAATCTCTGTATATACATTATACGTGCCTTCCCATCTCAATGTATAGACGTGTGCCTCCCTCACACATTCCAGGGCCCGGTACCACACGGAGCCCTCGCCCCCCTCTCTGGATCACGCGTGTTGTGCTTCTCTAGAACATAAACTGGACACTTCCGGGTACAACTCAAATCCCAGCAATAGCATGGGCTCCAACCCCCCCCCCACCAACCGGGATGTGGAAGTGGCCCCTGAAGACACAATGAGCGTTATGTGTCCCTTCTTCAAACTTGATATGGGCCCTCGGAGAGAGCGCCAACCATTGCTGGCTGCGTAACCCTGCGGTGGGGCACGCCCGGATGGCGTTCCGATCATTACAGGTGTTGAGTCTTAAAGAGACACTCCGTATAGTTTTTGGATAGAGCGGAGAAGGTTTAGAATTCCTATATTTCTGTCTGTGATCCCGTTGGGCGGATTTCCCCTCACTTCCTGTGTGGTCACCAGGACAGGAAATTACCTAAATCACGCCAATGAACCCCACCTCCCCCAGGTGTCAACGCTGGGAAGGGAGGAAGGGGGTAAGGAAGGACACGGGAAGTAATGGAAATCCCCATTGGAAGACCTTCCCTCTATTCCTGGTCTGGTGACAACAGTAACATTTTGACTTCCCCATCACTTTCTGATTGGGTGACTCCCCCTGAGGGGGGGCGGGGGGGGGCGCGGGCACACAGCCATAAAGACCTGGTAGGGGTTTCCTCCATCCCTGTGCTGAGTTCCCGGGTCTGTATACCTGCTGTGCCCATTATGAGGGGTTCCCTCCATCCCTGTGCTGAGTTCCCGGGTCTGTACACCCGCTGTGCCCATTATGAGGGACTCCCACCATCCCTGTGCTGAGCTCCCGGGTCTGTATACCTGCTGTGCCCATTATGAG